TCCACTAAGCGATCTAGCCCGGCCTCGATTTTAGGCTTCATTGCTAGTGGCAGCAGCCTAGCCTTGATGCGAATGGGCCGCACTGCTGGGTCGAGATCCAGGGAGATGGGGGGCCCAGAGAAGTGTCCCAGTGTTCCATCAAAAACACGGGGAAATTCCGCGCACACCACGCCAAAATCCCGTGACCCGACCTGGTGGATTCCATTCAGAGAGAGTCCCAGAGCCTCAAACCAAGAGAGTCCCAGCAGGCTGGAGAGAGGCCTATCCACCACCAGCAGGTCTAGGGTGCCGTTAAAGTCTTGGAACTGTACCCGGAACTTGCCCCAGCCCAGCACCGCCATGGGGTTCTTATTGAAGTCGCTTAACCGGAAACCCCGCGGCTTCTGAAGGGGTGGGGGCCCCTTCGGACACAGCATGCGGAGCGTATTCGCGGAGATAATGGAGTAGGTTGACCCTGTGTCGATCTCCATGCTGCAGGGGGATCCCTCTATAAGAACCGTAACATGCATCTTGTTGGGGCCATCGGGGGGCAAGTTACAGACCTGGTGTTGCGGGAAGTGGGCCGATATGGTGTGGAGGTCGATGGGTGGCTCCGGTCTGGTGGGCGGACGACTTCTGCCGTTGTCCCTTGGAGCGGCAAACCCGGGGAATGTGCCCCGATTTGTTGCAGGTCCGACAGACTGCGTTTCAGAAGCGGCACGACTGGCGCTCATGACCCTCTCCGCAGCTGGTGCACGGGGCAGAGGCGTTCGAAGAGGCTTTGCCCACGTTGGCGGACGGCTGAGATGACCGACGACGGACCTGGTGCACCTCGTTCTCGTCCGAGGCGTCGGAACCTGCTGTCACTTGCATGCAGTGGACTGCCTTGGCGTGGCGGTCTTGGTGGGCCTTTTCGTATGCAGTGGCCTCCCGGATTGCCTTCTCCAGGTCCAGGTCGTCCTGGCTTACCAGCTTCCTCTGAAGCTTCGGTTCTCTTAGTCCCACGAGGAACTGGTAGAGGAGAGTTTCAGCTAGGATGGAGAAGGAGCACCTGGTTGTGCCCCGCCGCAGAGCCACCAGGAAATCTGAGGCGGTCTTGTCGGGGCCCTGGACCTTCGCAAAAAAGTCCAGGCGCTCCACAAACTTAGTTGTTTTGGGAGCCAGGTCAGCGCCTTGACCAAAGAGCTGTACGACTCGTCTTTGGTCAGCTTGGGCGCTATTAAGTCCTTAAACAGGAGATGGGTCTCCATCCCGCAGTGGCGCAGCAGGTACGCCTTTTTTATACCTGGATCCACCACTCCGTGGATGTTGAAGTGGCTCTCGAGAGTTTCCAGCCAGGTTTCCCACTGCGAGGGTTGGGAGATGTCGAAGACTGGGAGGCTCTCTGATGCGGCAGCCATCTTACGGTTTCCACGTGGAAGCGAGCGGTGTAGATGGCAGAGCGGTGCAGTGCTGCTCTTGGGGTCAGCGGTGCGAGGCTCGGTGTTGCGGAGAGGCGGAGCGGTGTGGAGCTGCTCATGGGGTCAGCAGTGCGATGCTCGGAGCTCAGGAGCGGTGCAG